GGAAGTAATTCATAACCTAAATGCCAATGTGTTTGTAAAACAAAAGTTCGAAAAATAAAGACGAATGCATTATACTAAAACTAAATGTACATGTTTGGCAATGCAATCAGCACCATCTCTTAAACACACCTTAATAAAAAGGTTGCACAAAGAGTCTCTATTTCATCCAGTTAACAAGGAGCATCTTAATACTGGACTTTTTTCATTTTAAGATGTGTAACAAGTAGGCCAGAGAGAATATATCAATAAGAAAGTTTATTGGGCATAACAGCTAATGCTTATTATCAAATCTTAAGTCTAATAAACACTATAAAATGTAACTTTACCAGTATCGAAAAAATTTAATATTTTTAAAGTATGTTCTGATATCTTTGTTTTTTAATTTTTTGTTATACTGTTAGAAAATAACTGGACAAAAAAATAGTCTGGATATAAGTTTGTTCCTACTGAGTTCGCCACAGAGATGTTATAAAATAAGCTAGCAAATGATCCTTTTAACTTTAAGGGGACGTGGTCTTAAATAAACTAAAGAAGTCATATGTTTAGCAAGCCTGGATGACACGAGGTCACGTCAAATGTCTAAGAAGTAAATGAAAGTAAATATAAATCGGTAATAAGACGGTCAGTATGGAAAATGTAGCTCTAATTTAAACTTGTTTACTGAACTTGCCTTTAGTTTCCTGTATGGTTGGGTTTTAGTGGAGGCGTGAATGATCTCCTGGATCAGCTCGAAAGGGAAGGCTAGCCACGCAAACATCTCCCAATGCCTATCAGCACGTCTTTTATGTCTTGGCGTCCATTTTAGAGCCTCAGCGAGGTGGTGTATAAAGAAGCTTAGGAAACAAAGGTTGTCATTTTGGCAACCCACATGAACATTAAGTGATTTCATTTTATTGAAGGTCAAAATGTTGGTTAGTTAAAAAAAAAGTTGAAGGACTACTTAAGCTGAACTAGGCAAACACCTGTATTAGATTTCACATATTTTTAAATCATATCTGTATTCTAAATGCCATTCTCAGAACTGCTGATGGGTCATGATAACACAATAAAAAAAACATTTTAAACAATTGATTATTTAAGGGGTGCAATAATATCAAGCTATAAGCAAAAAAAAAAATTTTTTTTTTGGTCAAAGGATTAACAAATCCATGATTACACACTCAAAACAAAAGCAGGGATCCTGGAGCAGTCTTTTATACTGCCCAAAATGATTTGTACTTGTGTGGATATACACGATTTTCCTACATTCTTTCAGTATAATAAAATTAAAAAGAAAATATATTATTACAGGAAGTCAGAACCCAATCCTACAATTCAAACTCTCTTCTTTAGAAAGAGAATCCTCACTGACAATGAGGGTGGTCGACAAAGATACGTCCCTTACAGTTCACCTCTCCTATGATAATGCTGATTTTTAAGAGCAAAACTATCACAAGCCAACCATAAGCAGGCCTAATAGGAAGTAAATTAGATATAAAGTATATATCCAAGTGGAATACCAGGTAGCATTGAAAAGAAAATCAATGAACTTTCCAGATTTTCTTCCTCCTTAAAATATTTTGAGAGAGCCAGACTATATAGTAATCGTTTAATCATATAATCTAATCAGCTTTTTAAAAAATAGCATTTTTCTCCAAGTATTGCAAACACAGCTCACTCCTTCTTACCCAAAAGATTTAAATTTCTATTCCCTGCCATTCCCAGCCATTTCTGCCAACCCCATAAAAATTACCTTTTATCATTTCCTTCTCACAATGAGAATTCCCTAATCGCACATATCTTTTAGACACAGACACCTCCCCACCCACCTCCCCACCCACCTCCAAAAACTGGTTCAGAGCAAAGACACACACAAAAATAATGACCAAGCTCACATTTCTTGTTTGCCCTTCAAGCGAAGTCTGGTGTCTTCAGCTTGCCTTTCTGGTCTTCAGTGTTGTCACTCATTGCTGGGGGATGGAGTTTAGGACAGCATGAAGCAGCAGAAATAAAAGCTGTTGCTTTAAGAAAACGTTTTCTTACACACATGGATAAAACAACTTTTACTCTGACTTCCTGGCTGGGTCGCATAAAATCTTAGAAAGGCTCCTCGAAAAGGGAACATCTACAAATGGGAAAAATAAAAATAAAAATAAAATAAAAGCTAAAAACTTACGTTCTCAAAACATTCCGAAGGATGTCTGATTTGATCTGAAAGCAGGTTTGTACTGATGAACAAAGTTTATTTTGTAGAAAATGAATATTCTCGCTAGTTAGAAATTTGCCTTGCCATCTTCTACATTGTCAGTCCTGTCTCTCATGGTACAATCATACATGCAGAAAAAAAAAATCAAATACAGTATTTCCCAAATGCATGGACACTGGGGAGAAGCTTCATTTTGAAAAAGGCTTTTATTTCCCTTAATACTGGTGACTAAACGTCATTGAATGAACCAACACTTTCAAATAGCCCAAGAGACTTAAAAAGCCTTCTAAGTTTGAAAACCAAAAAGTTCTGAGTTTTCTGTACCCCAGGACGGTTTTCTTTCCTGAAGCTCAAGCCGAGAAAGCAGACAAAAGAAGCTGATTTGACTGAGCTGTGCCAAGCTTTGCCTTTTTTTCTTTCCTCAGCTCTCCCTCTGCCTCTCTCTCTCCCTTCCCTCCCTCTCTCTCTTTCTCTCTCACTCTTTTGCTCCCAGTATGGCAACCTTCCGAGCAGTCTTGGCGGAGGTCCAGCCTGTGCCAGCCTGTCTGAATTCTTGTCTCCAAAAGATGTCCTTTGCGGATCAATTAATACATTTGAAAAACAGGAAACTGTGGTTTGGTACCCAAATCCTGGCACCAACAGCATCAGCTTCTGCCAAATCACCTTACAGATTTCATGCTATCCTACCTTTCATCATCATTACTAACATGTTCCCGGAGCAATAATGGAGTACTAGAAGCCAGTCATTGCTCAGCGATAAGGAATCTGTTCCCTAGAAGTGTCCATATGCGACATACGCACCACCTGCAAAATTCTCCTGTGAGCAGAGATGTATGTAACTTTAATAAGCACCACATACTGTATTTCTTTTTATAAGCCTAGCTTTTTCCTTGCCCTGCTGCAAAGAATCATGGGAGAAGAGAAAAGGAGGGATGCAGATTAAAATTAAAACTGTATGCCCAAATAAGTCATGCTTTCTCCTGGGGAAAAAACAACATAACTCTGATTGATCGGCAATTCCTATTTTCAAGGAAACTCTAATACGCACTGTACCTATCCCAAATTCCACTGGCGGTGAAGGGAGGTAAGGATTCTTTTCAAAACATAAATATCAATTAAGGGAAAAACAAAAGACTTAGAGTGGATTGAGTAAAACTAAGCATGTTTTCACATTCTGAACTTCAAGTTGCAACACAGCCACTTATTTACTAAATACATACTAGGACAATCTAACATGTATAAATAAAAACTATTTATCTTTATCTGTGGCATGCATGTCTTTTGAAGCAAAACAAGCCAGTCTGTGCTTCACACATGTACCTGTCCTTTGTGGATCAAGTAATATATCTGAAAACAGAAAATTGTGGTATGGTACCCAAATCCTGGTAATGACACCATCAACTTCTACCAAATTATTTGCTGGCATTTCATTTAAGAAATCATTTTTACCTCTGATGCTTGGAAATACAGACCAGTCAAACGCTAGAATCACCATGGTTTCATAGAAAGAACCCAGAATAGTAGGTTCTAGTCCTTGGCTCTGTCCTTCTAACTTAGATAACCTCGAGGTCTTAAATCACTTGATCTATATAATTCTTAGTTTGCTTGTCTATCAAATATAAAAATCAGTGATGTCTTCCTCTGTGCTCCCCAAACACTCCATTTATATTCAGTACACTTTCATTCTAACTGCACAGTAATTTGTTGAGTATGTGTCCTCACCAACCAAATGTGTGTCATCCTCACAGGCAGGACCATGTGTCACTTATCTAAGAAAACTGAAAGTCTTGCATGGAGCCTTTCATATGTAGGTGCTCGACAAAATTATTAGGTGAATGAGTTATAGGGATCAATCACATAAATATCATTCTGAAGTTCTATAAAACTGAAATATAATAATTAAAAACAAAACCACCTAGTACTAAATCATAAAGTTGATAAATGAGAGAACTGTTACAGAGACAGCCTAAGGGTCAAATGAAAGCCCTAACAAGAGTACTCCATGCTATCCTTCCAAATACAGATGGTGAATCATGGACAGAGTGACAGCGAATCTGCAATTTGTATTCAAATTGCTGACAGCTAAAGACAAAGAGACAATCCTGAAAGTAGCAAGAAGTGGCTCGTCAAGTACAAGGAAGCCTCCATAAGATTAACAGCGGACTGCTCACTGAAAACCATGGAGGCCAAAAGGCAGTGGGATGGCATGTTCAAAGTGCTGAAAGGAAAAAAAAATCACCCACCAAGAATTCTATGTTAGCAAAACTCTCCTTCAAAAAATCAAGGAGATATTAAGACATTTGCAGATAAACAAAAATCAGTTTAGCTATTACCTTGTAGAACAGATCTGCCTTACAAGAAATACTAAAAGATCTTCTCCTCCTGGCTGAAATGAAAGGAGATTAGCCAGTAACTCAAATCCACATGAAGAAATAAAAAGCACAAGTAAAGGTAATTACAGAAGCAAATGTTAAAGACAGTATAAATGTGTTTTTCTGTTTGGATCCCTTTTTTTTTCTTCTACCTGATTTGAAAGATAACCCACAAAAAGCACTAATTATAAATCTGTGTTGATGGGCATATAATGTGTGAAGATGTAATCTGTAACAGCAGAATAAAGGAAGGATAGAACAGAGCTATATAGGAGCAAAATTTTTATATACTATTGAAATTAAGTTGGTATTAATCTGAATTTGATTGTTGTAAATTAAGATGTTAACTGTAATCTCCAGAGCAATCACTAAGAAAACAACAAGGGAATTTAAACGTTAGCATACAAAAATATTACTTAACACAAAAGAAGGCAGTAATAGAAGAACAGAGGAATGAAAAAGAAAGACATACAGAAAGTAGCAAAATGGCAGAAGTAAATCAACCTTATCAGTATTTAATTAAACTTAAATGAATTAAAGACTCCAATTAAAAGACAGAGATTACAGAATGAATACAAATAAATGCTCAAACTATATGCTCTCTATAAGAGACACACTTTAGAATCAAAGAAACAAATAGGCTGAAAGTAAAAGAATGAAAAAATATATACCAACCAAAAGAAAGCTGAAGTGGTTGTTCTAATATCAGATAGAACAAAATTAAGACAAAAAATATTGCTAGAGAAAAATAAGGACAATTTACAATGATAAAAGGGTCAGTTTATTAATAAAATATGACCACTATAAACATACATACACTTAACAAAAGAGCCTCAAAATTCATAAAGCAAAAAATGAAATAACTTAAGGAAGGAATAGTTCAACAAATAGTCAATCCTCCAGAAATAGTTGAAGACTTCAGTACCCTGCTTTCAATAATGGATAGAATAACTTGACAGATGTTCAGCAAGAAAACAGAAGACTTGAACAAGACTGTAAAGTAACTAGACCTAACAGACATCTGCAGAACACTGCCCTCAACCACAGCAGAACGCACATTCTTCATAAGCGCACATGGAACCCTCTTCAGAACAAATGATATCTTAGGCCATAAAACAAGCCTCAGTAAATTAAAATGGATTGAAATCATACAGAGTATTTCTCCAACACAGTGGAATAAAAGTAGAAATCAATAATAGTAAAAAAAAAACCCATATTGCAAGAGAACCACAGACCAATATTCTTTTTGAATATAGATGCAAAAATTCTAAACAAAATACTAACACACTGAATGTAGCAACATAAAAAGGATTATATACCGTGGCCAAGTGGGATTTATCCCAGGAATACAAGGTTGGCTCGACTTGGAAAAATCAATCAGTGTAATATACTATATTACTAAAGGACACAAATCACTTAACCATCTCAATAGACACAGAAAAAGCATCTGACAAAACCCAATATCTTCTTTTGGTGAGGAAGCAATTAGGTTTATTTATTTATTCATTTATTTATTTTTAACAGAGGTATTGGGGATTGAACCCAGGACCTCATGCATGCTAAGCATGCACTCTACAACTTGAGCTATACCCTCCATCAACCCAGCTTTTAGGCTAGGAAACTAAGGCATACAGGTTTGACTAACTTGCCCAAGGTCATACAGCTTGCCCAAGGTCACACTGTTAATAAATGACAGAGCAGGAACTGAACCCAGGCAGTCTGTCTCCAGTCTATGAAGCTAACGGCTACGACTGAGCTGACTCTAATGTGAAATGACATTTCAGGAAGATTTTTCAGGCAAAATTTGTTCACTGAACTAAAGGAAAGACTGGAGACTATTGCAATGACCCAGGCATCAGATCCCACGGGCCGGCTGGGCCTGGAGGGTAACTGCCATTTGCTGTGGGCAGCAGAGGGCAGCAGAGGGCAGCAGAGGGCTGCGGAGCAAGAGCTGGGGCCCCGCCCAGGCTTCCGGCCACTGGCTTCCGGTGGAGGACCAGCACCGGAAGGATCAGGGCTAAGGCCCAAGTCAGAGATGCAAGATCTACGCGATGCAAGATCTACCCGATGCAGCGATGCAAAGAGGAGGGCTGGGAGCACCACCATCCTCAGGGGTAAATTTCAGAAGTCACTTCTGGCCGTGGGGCCGAGTCCAGAGAGAGGGCAGAGGTGCTGAAGGAGCCGCGTCTCAGAGCAGCCGGGTGGCCCTGCCCCCGGCTCCCAGGCGGCCACCCAAGACCCTCTCACACTCTCCTCTTATTGCCCAGGTTCTTCCACGTTCCACTTCCAAACGTAATAGTGAGATCATGACTCCCCTTTTTTTTAATTATTATTATTATTTGCAAATGGATTTCAGGTCTTCCAAGTGTGCGAAATTTGGCCATCCCTTTTAAATTTAAAATATGCACTTAGGACTGGTATCTAGTTCTCAGAGCAATTAAAATTAAGAAATACATTCAAATGGTATTTCCAAGCTTCTGACAAATCTGAAACATCTTGAATACAGACACCGTTCATCCACAGACATCAAAATTGTTTTATTACCCTAAATCATACAACATTATTGTTTGAAAAAAAAGTAGGATAGCAGATAAAACTGTCAGAATAAGAAAAAAAGAAAACCTCCTTGATGAAAACTTCCTATGCATGGAAAAAGACAAAAAACT